CTGTTGTAGAGCCTAACTATGGGTTCTAAGATTTCATTTGTTGTAAGAGACCAAACAGGTAAACAGTACGACATGGTTGAGAGTATAATGGCATGAAGATAGATATTTGAAACAGAAGATGTCATTTAAGCACATTAAAGTTTTTATTTATTTTCAGCAAAATGCTTTAGAATGAATACATTTAGTGAAGACAACAAATATACAGAGGAGTGCAGATAGCAGCTTTAGATGGTTTATCAGTTCTCAGATTTCATTTAAAGACAATTCAGAGAAGTTTCCACCTCTGATTAATAAACCGGAGTCTCTGTGTGATCAGAAGAGAGAAGAAACTGTCTGGTTTGAGTCATTAATGAAGGGATTGTTTGCTCAATTGCTTTTGTTTTTGATTTTGTTAATCAAAAACAAAAGTGTCATAAAAATTGATGCATCTTAGTTGACCCGTGCAAAAGAGTTCAGCACCTAAAACTCCAGAGAAAACGTGTCCTAATCTGTAACTTTCTGAAAATATAAGAACATTTACTTTCACAAATCCAATCTTTTCTGTATGAATGTGCTAAAATGTTAATTGAATAAAAGGAAATAAATGAAAAATGTGTTTGTAGTTCATTTGTTTTAAACATCGTGCTTCAGTTGCGTCCTGCAGAGCAGCAGTACACACACACACACACACACACACACACACACACACACATTGAAAACACAAAGAGAAGAAGGTGCGCATGTTGAAACAAAACAAAAATCGAATCTACATTTAAACTATATTTATAAAGAGGAAAAATGTCTAACTGAAATTGCTCTGTTTTATATTTAATTTAATTGTTTTATTTGTTCAAACATCTAATTTAATGTTTCTCCTCCTGTGTGGTTTAGTTGTGGAGAATAATTGAGACTTATGTGAGTTGAAATCAGTAAAATTTGTCATAAATTTAAAAAAAAAACTGTCTCACTGATGTTTCTCTTAATCCTTCAGCCGTCTGTCAGTCATCTCTGAACCTGTTAGAGGAGAAAACATCAGACTTTTGTGTGCTATTGAATAAAATTCAAATGAACTGAAGTGAACCGCTGTGCGTTGTGTGTTTGTCCTCAGACGGAGCAGCCGGAGCGTCGTGCGTGGTCCCGTCGGGATGAAACTGCAGGTCTGTGCTGAATCAGAACGTGTCAGGCTTGATTGTGCGAGTTGTAAAGTGGTGATGAGGCTGCGCTTTTCGACGTGACTCACGCAGGGCGGGATGCTCGCGAACAGATTCGGCTCAGTCAGGAAAAAAATTTGGGAGTGACGCGCCTCTCAGGACAGAATCCAGGTTGCGTCAAGAGCTAAATAGTTGCTGTGTGTGTGTGAGGTTTTCTTGTTGTTGTTGTTGTTGTTGTTGTTGTTGTTGTTGTTGTTGTTGTTGTTGTTGTTGTTGTTCTTGTTCTTGTTCTTGTTCTTCTTGTTCTTGTTCTTGTGAGTTTTTAATAAATCTGGATGTAGTGAGTCAGGAGTTAAAAACATGGAGACGCAGTGTGCCATGTGTTGGACAGTATGTGCGTAAAAGATGCATCGGGTGCGCCCCGTCCGTCTGTCAGTCTGTCAGCTGGTTCTCCCACACTCTGGAAACTCCTTTTTTTCCCTGTGAATGAGGGGCTCACTTCCCTTTCTGTTTCCTGTGCTGAAACTGGAGTTTGAATCCAGAAGCTGGACGGTTACACAAAAAGTAAAAACAATGAAATAAAAACAGAAGCTATCCAAGTCTGCGTAAAAGCTTCAGATTATCTGCTTGGGTTGTTTAATCTTCAGAAAATAAAGAGTAGCTGGAATCAGTTGGGAGTTTTGACTTTTTTTGTGTGTGTTTTTTTTTTATATATAAAAGAGATCATCTCAGTTGTGGACGTTAGAAGTTGTTAAATACAACTGTCAGCTGTTTGACGCTGAAAACGTCTTTTTGTGTTTTTGCGCTTGAGGGTCGGATGGTGTTATTCTGATAGAGGTGTGTGTGTGTGTGTGTGTGTGTGTGTGTGTGTGTGTGTGTGTGTGTGNGTGTGTGTGTGTGTGTGTGTGTGTGTGTGTGTGTGTGTGTGTGTGTGTGTGTGTGTGTGTGTGTCCTCAGAGCTGCCCATGGCCATGGAGGAGACAAACAGAGCCTAAAACTATTTTCTCCTCTCTTGTTTACAGCTGTGGAGGAGCGCGACAATAATGTGACGGTGGAGGCTCAACAAGTCGGACTGGAGTGTGTGTGTGTGCGTGCGTGCGTGCGTGCGCGCGCGTGTGTTAAAGACGAAAGGGAAAACAACTATTATAAAGTCCTGTGTTTTATAATTATACACCTGCAAAAAATGTAACTTTTGCTGATTGTCTCATAAATATTTCTGTTCTTATTTAGGCCTATAGATAAATGTTTGAAACTGTAATTCTGTGACTTTTTATTCGTCTCAAATTGTATTAAAATTATACAAACACTAGAGGTTATAAATCCAGGTTTGAAATGATTTGATTACATTTTATTAGAATGACTGATATTTTTGCCAAACAATTAAATATCGCATGAAAAACACCTCGGAAGCCCTCTCCGAGCCCCCACAACTTGTGTCAAATATTGCGAGCAGCTGCGTGAGGCTTCCCAGCATCTAGATCCATTTTCTTACTCTCGTGCCTTTGCTGAGTTCACGACAGGCTTCGGTTTGAGCCACAGAGCCCTGATCTGTCCGCATTTCGTGTTTGATTTGCCGGAGCGCGCGTGTGGAGCGGAGGGGGGCCGCGTGCATGGCGGGCAGATCAGATCAGCTCGACTGCAGCTGGACTCGAAACACTCAGCTGCAAACAGGTCGGAGGAGGGAGGACCTTCATGTGGAGAGAGGGGCAAAATGTCCTTTTATTTTTCTGTGATTGTCTTTAAACGTTGTCTGCTGTAAGTGGAAATTTTAACAGAGTGTAAAATCTGAATAAAAACAATGGAAATGTACAGCCTGTCTCGGTGTTTATGTAACATCTCATACAGCAATGTTTCGGATGGGGGGGAAGCTTACTATCCCTGTGTGATCTCGCGAGAGTTTGAAATGGAGCGAGATTTTTTGGGGGTTGTAGTTTTTCCTCCCTTTTCTGTAGGACATCATGTTGCAGAGGGCGTGCGTGCCTGGAGCGTTTAAATGCGCAATCTGTGCGCCGCGGTGCCTCCGCTCGCCTGTCCTCGTGGGGTTTGGTGGATCTCAGCAGCGCGGCGCTGACAGAATCCCCTCAAAGCGAGGTGACTCATGCCCATCACTGACCTCACAGACCGGCGTCACTTCAGTCAATCAGCTGCCTGCAGATGTTCTCCTCTGGGCGGGTGCGCGCGCGCATACCTCTCCAATGAGAGCATCCTTTCATTCATAAAGTGGTAGGGGCAGTTTTTTCTCTATCGGAAGCGTGGGTTTGGAGCGTTTCATAATTCTGACTGAAACCGTCCAACCTGTTCAGGAAGCAGCCAATGGCGGCGTCCGGATGGGAGCTGCCGTAATCTTCGTCCAATCCCAACGCAATCCGGTCTCCTTCAGTCCCGCCCCCTGAAAATCGAATGAATGGGAGGGGAAGCGGCGCGGTTGATTGACAGACATGTACGCCTATCGGGGAGGGAGGACCGGCCGAGGGACGGCTCCCGCAGCCGGTGAGCAGCAGAGGGGGGGCGGTGCGCTTCAAATCAGGCTAGACAAGTGTGTTGGGGGAGTGAGTGTGTGTGTATGTGTGTGTGTGATGCTACAACCTCCTTATAAAGGGACTCTCTCTCACGTTGTGGCTTGGAAATTAGAGCACATTGCCTAAATTGAGGTCTCCATACACACCCTCTCACACACGCCGAGTCACCGCCACGAGCTTTGGATGAACATGGAGGGAGTGATCCGCAGGGCCGAGACGCCTCTCCTCTGGGTCGGTGCGTTCACCGTGGCCTCCCTGACGCTCTGGCTCCTCTTCAGGCTCATCACAGGCTTCAGGATCTGGGTCTTGGGGAACGGAGGGCTGCTCTCTCCGAAGCTGGGCAAATGGGCAGGTGAGTCGAGTTGGGGCAGCTTCCCCCCTCCTCCCTCCCGTTCATTTCACACCGAGACCGTGGAGGTTGAGATTAAAACAAACAAAAATGATGATTAAAGAGAGGTGGACTTCCAAACCCTGCAGAAGAAGCGCTCAAAACTTACTGCATTCAGTCAAGCTGTTTTATTATTTGTTTTCTTTTCTTTTTGTGACTTTTTTGTGTGTTTTTAGTTGAAGGGCTGGTGTTGCGTAACAAGCGCAGGTGCAGCAGCTGATTGACTGATTGACATTGTTGGGCTTCCTTTAGCTCCAGGAAGAAATCTCATCGTGTGCTGCCAAAACTGAGGCTCCAATCAGGGTTTTCACCCACATTTGGAGCCGTGTGTTTGTGTGTGTGTGGGGCATGAGCCAAATTGCGCAGGCTATGCGCACTTTTAAGAAATGTGCTCTCTCTCTCTCTGTTTCCCACTCTCTCACTCCCAGCCCCACTGAACCACAAGATCCAGAATCAGGTTCTCCATTTTTAAAAGGTGACCCACATCCTGATCCACTTCTAGAGTTGTTTGATTGGCATGTCTTCTGCGCACTTTCCCTATCCTTTTATTATTTTTTAATGGTAACATTGCCTATTTTTTTCTTTCTTTTTAATCAAATTGCACACAGTGTCCTCGTTTGGACCAAATGATCCTTTCAGCTATCATGGTTGAGTATTTTTCGACGTTTTTTAAAGGCTTGGTAGTTTTTTAGAGGAGTCGGCTTGACCCACTTCCTCCTCCTGGTTTCAGTGTGGACTGCTGCGTCTGGAGCCTCTTTTCTCTTGCTGCGCAATCTGTCAGGCTGGCGCTTTCATTCAGGATGGACTCCCTCTCTTTAACAAAAAAAAAAGATAAAACTAAACACTAAAAGCAGCTTAGTTGATGTGAACTGCTGTTTCTTGATTTATAAAGATGTATATGTAACTATGACGCACATTGGCCAATATATAATGAATATTTAATAGTTTAATTGATGCGTCATGATGGGTGAAAATGAGGTTGAGCGCCTATATTTATTATTATTATTATTATTATTATTATTATTATTATTATTATTGATCTGCCTGAATAAATGCGGAGGAATGCCGGTGCACTCTTTTGATTCTTGCATCGTCATCCACTGACTCCTCACCCCTCTCCTCCCCGCATTACATCTTCCCACCAGAGGGGCGCTTTACATCGCTGCGTCTTGCGTCACCAGCACTGATTCAGCTTTCGAGAATAAATAAGGAACTTCTTGCGTTCCTTTTTTTTTTTTTTTACAATTTCTTTTCTTTCTTTTGTGAACTCCCCGAAATCAATTCACGCCACCAGTCCGACCAGTTTGATTCCAGAGGCGTCGGTAAGAAAACGGTTGGGAGATGGCAGAAAGTGAGCCAGGTATGAGGGGCGGGGTGCTGCTGCGATGTGAGCCAGGGATGAGTCGTCCTCCTCCAGCAGGTTGGACCAGGTGGGCTGGTGCAGCCAGTTTATGCGGTGGTGGTTTTTTTCCCTTTAAACACTCGCAAGAGTCTGTATCCTCAGGTTTTAGGATCCACTGTTGCAACATCACTGACAGTCAAAAGTACATTTTTTAAGTCTTGGAAAGTTAACTATTTTATTTTTAATTAGTGCGAACAGATGACTAATTTGGCCCCAAATGCAGGAATACCATAAATACATTTGTTGCTCTTCACTTTAACATATCCCTCAGAGTTTAATAAATCTCATCAGTTTGCATGTGTTCTAGTAAAAGAACATGACTCGACTGACTGCATGCCTGCTTTATCAGATGGATGTTTTTTTCTTAAAGTTCACCCTGCAACATCTGAAACTGGAACAGTAGCTATCTGACTTGGCAGAAGCAGGAATGTTTCGTTGGTATTCTGTGTTCTGCAGCTCTCTCACTCAGAGCAGGGATTTCTGAGGAAAACCCAGCGACTGGACCTGGTTTTTAAACCGAGGGGACCCCTAGTGGCGAATCAAAGCAGTGCAGCGTGAGAAAGGCTTCCCCCCAGCCTCTCTGCACTGCACTCCTCAGCTGCTGCCGCCGATGTTTTCCACAGCCAAGGCTGCAGATCAATTTTTAATTTTTATATTTTACTCTTCCTTTCCAGAATCTTCACAAAAATGATTGTTTTGAAAAAGGAAAACACAACTGTATATAAGAGGCAGTTAAAAAAAACCTCTCTACAACACCTGGAAATGTTTCTGTTTCCAAGCATATTAAATCTCCAAAAATACTCAATGTTATTTCTGTGCACCAAAGTATTTCTGCACACTCCTACCTCGGTTTGACATGTGATATAAGAGCTGGTGTCTGTTCTGGTTCATGCTTGTAAAACTCCATTACAAGGGAAATAAATTTAGACCAAGTGGAGCTTTTTATAGAGATGGGAGGGGTTTTGCGAAAGACCCCTCTCCCCCTCCCCTCTTGTTCTCCTCTTGGGCGTGAGTTTATTGAGAAAATGGTTTGATTATATAAGGAGGATGCAGCCATTCATCAGCAGGAGGGAGCACATGGGTGACAAAGACTCGGATCAGCACTTACGCAAGATGTTAGACTTTGACTCTCCTTCAGGAGTCACTAACTAGTTTACCATAGCAGGATCACTGCAAGTCAGAAATTAAATGTGCTTAAATGTTTGCTTTTATATGAATTCATGTTTGAGCTCAGTTATAGTCGAGGGGAGGATGTGCGCATGTGAATTAAATGTGTCTGATGATGCAAAGACTTTGTGGGAGGAAAAAGTCACTGCTGTTCATGTGATAAACACACTCGAACACACGTGTTGAAGCAAAGGATGCTGGGTAAAAAAAAATCCCCTGCCTCTCCCCTCATTTTTAAGCTCTTTTCAATCTCTTCCATTCTCACTCCTGTGAGTGCTCTTCTCTTCAGTAAATAAAGTTTCAATATTTTTTTTAAATAGTAAATTGCATGTTAAAATGCACTTGGCACAAAATTTGTAGATTATTTCTTTTTAACAATGCTTCTTGGCAATAAATCTTACATTGTTTGAAAACCTGTTAATTTCCCTTTTTAAAGGGTGCCACATTTGTGAGGAACATGCATTTGTTGGATGAGCAGTAGAGATGTGGGTTGTGCACATAAACATTCTGCCAAACTGACTTGTTTTGAGCTGGTCCATCAGGTGCCCAGTATACGATTTATTGCCAAGAAGCATCGTTACAACAATCAAATTTACCAAACACACATTTTATTAGTTTTTTCTGCTAAATATATAAAGTTCGTTGCGCTTGCACTGAAGACAAAACCTCAAATTCAAGAAATGGTTAATATTCAGTGAAAACCAAAGCGTTATCAGGAGGTCCTTCTTTATAAATTTGTTGCACCCCAGCCCGAAAGTCTTATGTCTGTTAGCTAAATATCTTGTGAACCAGTCAACAGATTAAATGAAGCCGTAAAAGTAATCATTGAATGCATGTTTTTTTTTTTAGTTGGCAAACAAAAATTGTTTTAACTCGGTCCATTTTACAGATGTTGAAGAAAAGACGTGGTGTGCTGACAGCTGAGATCCATACTGAGTGTTAAATCAAGCCGGTGAAGAACATTATCCGAAAGAATACGTGAATTTAGGAGAGACTGAGCTTCAGTGAGTTCAGACTGTTCTCAGTAATAAATGACTGCTGTTGCACTTTGCTGTATTTTTCCAAATAGCCTGTTTATGTCGAAGCACAACACACCTAATACTCTGTCCTGGCCCAAGAGTGGCCCTTTTCTAAAGGCACCCCTGCAAATAGTTGTCGAAATATTTGTACTCCCGAACACCGGCATTGCTCAAATTCCTTCACACCTTGTCTTTTTTCACACTATTAAAAGTAGGTGATAAGTCACGTTATCCAGACAAACAATCTCAGGCGGCCTGCACATTTTTGAGCAACACTTTGAATGTATCTTTGAGTAAAATCACAGAACGTAGTATTTGCAGGGAGATACCACCACCAGCCAGACGTCAGACTTTCTAGGATGGGCTGCGAAACAAAATGTACTGTATGAAGTTTAGGATTTATCACGTTCCATCGCCTGGCCTGCGTGCAGGTATTTGAAGGAGCTCGTCAGATAAACGCAGAGGGATATCGAAGATGGAATGTTGAACTCTTGGAAGGTTTTTGAGGGTAAAGGTTACTCGCAGTAATGACTTGGTCACTTTTTTTACGTGAGAGGACAAAGATGAAAAATTAGGCACTCTTTTATAAATTTCTTACAAGCTGTTCAGAAAACATTCTCACTATGAGCCAGTCATTTTGCGGTCTGAAAGTTGTTGTGGGTAAAAACTTATTGTAGTTAGAGAATGCAGCTTTTTTTTCCTTCTCCTCTCTACCCAAATATAGAATCTGTTTCTATCTTGAGCGGCTCTGAAGTGCAGGTTTTATTTTTTGCTCTCCCCTCCCTCTGCCAATTGTTATTTTTGTCGACTTTCACATTAACCATGTCACTCGCCTCATTTGTGTGCGTTTTTAGAATGTGAGAGGTGGGCGGATGAGATGTTTTATTTTTTTCCCTGTGTGCGACAGATTATATAACTGTACGTAAGGAGGGAGAGGTGCACGAGGACTGCAGTCTTTGTTCGTTTACAATCCTAACTTGGGGTTCTTGTGTGATTTTTTTTTTTCCAGTTCTTTTGGTCTTACACGGTGATTCCCACACATGCAGTCCACTCAGTGCCTGCTTCCAGTGCTCATCTGACAACATACTGTTTTTCCTTTTGTCTCCATCACAGTGGTCACTTGGGCATCGAGGGGGCTTTATGTGGAAGGCTCCAGATTCGGCATCACCCTAGCCATCGTGGCACCTTGTTGGTATTCAGGTGCTGCAGCAGGCAGCTCCCAGACGAGGCAGTGGAGGCGCTGCTATTTTTACTCCTCTTGCTGCTTTTTTTAGACCCTCAGAATAGTGAGCAGGCAGCGGCAGGGGCTGCTGAGGGAAGGAGGGAGGAAAGGGTGGGGTGGGGGGTGTCAGTTTCTCTGAATGTGCTGTGCAGCAGAAGCCAGAGCTGAGCTGCAGTGCAAACGCGCCCCCATCAGGGCGCCTGGAAGCTGGCAGGGCTGGACCAGTTTCATCAAAGATGAGGGGGATGAGAGGTGGTGTCCACAGCGCTCCAGCACACTTTTCACCACGGTGGCGTCAGTGCTGCTGTCACTCACGTGCTCGCTTACGTCCGTCGTCTTTGTTGCGTTGGAGCTTTAAGTCACTGATGTCACGATCACGTGACGGGGAGTTAAATCCTGCGGGGAGCACTGGGATGGAGAACAGGCAGCTGCGTTTAGCTGGGGGAAGACGAGGGATGCTGGGAGAGATTTTTTTTTTTTTTCAGAATTAGTTTTCCCTGTAAGCTTGAAGCACACGGTGTCTCCATATTTCCTCCCTCCCCCAACCCCATAGACACTCAGTTCATAACGTTTATTGAGAAAAGGGTACGGTTATATAATGGAGGGGAGGAGTGCAGCCATTCATGAGCACGAGGACTGCTGGAACAGGGGAATGGGTTTTGGTTGGTCATGGCTCAGCAGTAAACATGTAAATGTCAAATAAGCTTTGCACAGGCAAACTGACTATTTTTTAAATGTTGCAGTATTCTTGTATTAAATATTCCTGATTCCCTTTTTTTGCTTTCTAATTCCCACTGCTGATGCAAACACCATCTTTTAAATTACTTTTTTTGAAGATGTGCTGACCAACACAAGTCATACTTCACTTCTAGAGCTTTATGATGATGTCATGAGGTAGAAGCTTAAGTCCTCCATGCACACAAAACTGAATCCTGATCTGTAACCAGGAGAGGGTTTTTAAAGGCAATGCACAGTGATGGTTCCTAAGTTACTTTTGGAAAATTACTAACTGCATTCCTGAAGTGAATGACATGTCTGATGTGAACTCGTGCGTCATCAATCTGAAAGATTGTGCCGACATGGCGGAGTTCACTAAGTGCTCCTGTACCTGCATTGTGACCACATGCAGTAATGCATTCCTGCAGGACTGCGTGTGCACCTATCTGAGTTCCACTTTTCATTCCACCTAACAGGTTCTCTTCAGCCTGACACTGGATGGTGGGAGTGAACTGTGTGCACCCCAACTGCCTTTAAATCAGCTCTTTTGTCCTCTTCGAAAGAATGCTGTTGAACTGAGGTTTTCACTTTAATTAGTTCATTCAGGTTGTTTCTTAATTGTTGTTCTGTGAAGATATCCTCTTTCTTAATTAAGAGTTGAGCAGGTATTCGTGTTTTTCATCCCATTCGTGTTTCTGGTAACGTTGTGTTCAGTCTCCACCTGTAATATTCAGTGTTCTTCAGTTGAAACTTGTAGAACAGCCTCATCCACCTCCATGTTGACGAGGCTCCCACCCCAGCCATCTTTCTTTGCAGCAACTGTGGCCTCTCCCTGCC